CCTCTAATAAAAATGAATATCTGCCTGTATAATGAGCGGAAGATTCGGACGAATGTAATATATTTATAAATCATAGAAGGATTCAATGGCTAATAACAACTCTGTGAGTTTGAGACATTCATGGTTGTCAGAATTAAACTGATGCTGGTGGTCATCTAGCGGAGTTAATCACCATCTCAGCATCTTAGATGTCCTGTGTTCGAACCCTGCCAGTATGATGGCTAAACGCCAATCCTGTTTTGAAGTGCCCAATGGAATGTGATTGGTTGGATTTACTTGAAGTTATAACGGATTCATTTGAAATCGAAAAGGTATAGATTTACCGTAAGTTGAAAGAAATGGAAAGACTTTGCGAGCAAAAACAAGTAATTTTTGTTGATGTTATTTTTCCGAGGGACATGCTAAAACCAGTCAGTCTTTTTCCCCTCTTTGGTCTATTTATTATTACTAACGATGAGGAACGCAACGTTCCGAAATTGCTACTGGATTTAACCCTTGTAAACGCAATTACAGGTCTATCCACATTTTTATACAGAAAACTTCCTGGTAAATTGCACATTTCAAACACAAAACAACAACTAGGTAAATAATATTTTGCCGGCTGCACACCTAAGTACATAGTTTTGAACTGGGTCTCTGATACTATTGCTAATAATAATATTATTAGCACCATCATTAGTAGTCTTCGTATTGTTCTGCTTCACACTTTTTATAGTTCAGGCTATGGCATTAAAACAATCGTTCTAAAAATTTGACTATAAAGAAATATTAACGGGATATTTTGAGGAATCTAAATCGGACACCACCTTCCATGGAAATTGTCATCTTCACAGCGCTCGACCAAAATCGACTACATCGCCATCATTTACCGCTGGAGCGGGTCGATTCAAGACTGCCGCTCCCACTGATCAACTCCTACGGACATGGGCCACACTTTGTTACGAGTCAAACTCTGCATACGCCTGTCAAACAACCGCCATAAAGCCACCGGCAACGGATACCCACGATACACTGCCAGCGATTGTTGCAAATCGGCCTTCGAAGCGGAGCTATTCCATCGCCTATCAGTTAAACCACCAGCCGAAGGACTCTATAAACTCTGGAAGCAAATCAAGGAAGCTATGCAACTATCGATAGAAACAAAGGCGGACGCTGTATGCTTTAAACACAAACGATGGTTCTCGTTGACTTCGACTGCTCTGATGGACGCCGGCAGAACACTTCTTTCTGATGTCGCATGTAGGACAGCAGGCAAATTCCTTAAAAACCAGCTCATCAAGAGTCTGAAGAATGACGGCTAAACGTGGTGGGTGCAAAGTGCAGAGAGATGGAGAATACCGCGGCTGTTGGTAAAATTCGCAGTATTTTCCTTCTAACTAGGATAACGGGCCCCAGGAAAATAGGCGTGAATGAGGCAATTAAGGAATCAGATGGCACAGTGATTCACCATCATCAACGCCGTCTTGATCGATGGGCTGAACATTTCGAGACTCACTTCAACTGGCTATCATCGACATCTAACCTCGACTGGGCAAGCGCTCCAAGTTGATGCCAGTCCTCCATCTGAAATGAAGTTTTCTCGGGAAATAAGTTATTTCAAAAGGCACAAGTCCTCCTGNCCTGCCCAGATTAGCTGTTTCAATCTGCGTTCAAAGATGGAGGTTCAGCGTAAGTCCTAGAGTTGACGAAACTCCCGGGGTCAATATGGGAAACGGAATAGGTTCCAACAGAGTGGTGTGAATCGGTCATCTTACCGATTTACAAGACAGGTGACAGATCCTCGTTTGAAAACCACAGAGGAATGGGTTTAATCAACATTGCTTCTAAACCTCTCGCTGGGATCATACTCCGCCGATCGTCTGCCGCACGTGAAGGGTGCATGCGTGAGAACCAGGCTGGTTTTAGATCTCGTCGAGGTTGTATCGACCACATCTTCATTCTTTGTCGAATTCTAGAACACAATCACTCCTTTCCTAGATATATTGTTTCTATTTTCCTCAATCTGAAATCGGCATATCAATTCAGTCGATCGATCCTAATTCTGGCGCTGTTTTCCCTGAAGGATATGCCCAAGAATTTCTTTTGAACTTTATGATCTCTCCACACTCTTTGCCGAAGCCGACTCCCAGTTTACGGCGCTTCTTTACCCTGGTTCACTACAGCAAGTGGTGTTTGTCAGAGTTTCCCTCTCTCTCCGCATCTATTTTGCTTTGAAATAGATTTAATACTCAATCGAAAGCTTTTGCTTGCTTTCTAGCGGGGGCTAATGTAATGGCGATGATTAAACGAAGAAAAGGAGCAATCCAAGAGAACGTTTTCCATTCATATTTTCTTCACAATCAAATCTAATGCCAACCGTGATATTTCTCTGTTTTACTTCTGCTTGTTTTACTGAGCACGGTTTTCCGCTCAGGTATATATATATATATATATATATATATACAAGCTAGGTCCTGTTGAAACCCACGCAACACGTGTGACACGCTTTCGCTTTGCTACTGCATTTATTTGCTTGCATTGTTTAGTCGTCACATCGGCACGTATTCGGTACCATCTAGTACCACCATAGGCCAATAAACGACCACATCGAGTGTTTTTGTCTACCTCGGGCAACGAGACACTAGGAGATCGCGAGCTATTTGAGATACGTAAGAAGACTTGTCGACTGGCCGTAGACCTCGATTAGCTTCAAATTCATCCTTCGGTTGAATAAACAGGCGTCAAAATGCAACTATGGTGATCGATTGGATGAACAACTTTGTGATCGTCTCATTGCTGGAATCAACATCATCTCATTACAAAGTAAGATGTTGGGAAAGACATCACGTTTGCTGAGGCTCGAAAAATCTGTGAGCAAAGTAATGATTTGTGCGCTGCTACAAATGCCGGTACTCCCGTGTTATTCCATTGGTAATCAACGAAACCATTACGTGATGCATCCCGTGTTCATTATTCACCCCCGATTTCTCAAGTACCCAGTTCAAGCCGAACACAACCAAAGGCTGCGAACAACCGCTGCTTTTCATGTGGGGAATACGATCTTCGTTCGAATCGTCGGTTCCGTAATGCCACTTGATATGCATGCGGTGAGATGGGCCATTTCCGCAAGGTGTGCCGAAAGCCCAATTGCAATCTCCCAACGGCAGACGAGAATTTAAGTCCAATCTACACGCTGCACACTATTGAACCCAACAGCGAGTTCGTGTTCGCCCCACTGAAGTTTGTGTCTTGTGTGGAACATCGATTCATCATGCACACAGGAAGCAGCGAATTCACCTTACGCAGCTACTGGAACGATTTGTCGGCAGGAACGTGGCTATCAAGCCGTCCAAAGGTGTGTTTGGTGTTAGTGAGTTGGAGTTTCTAGGATTTGCAGTTGATTCCCGTGGATACCGTCCCGATCCGACACGTTTCAAACTATTGACTAACATAGAATCTCCAAAGGATCAAACGCATTTGAGATCCGTGATAGGATGCCTATAGTACTATTCCCGATTTATCCCACATTTTGTTACAAGGGTGTTACCGCTTTTCCATACTCAGTGTCCAGACGCTTGGGAATGACCGGTGAAGTGTGAAGATATCTTACGTGGTTTAATTCGCTGCATTACTGATCGTCCTGTTTTGGCCCCGTTTTCACTATCAAAACCTACCATGCTAATCATCAATGTATCCGACGTTGGAATCGGTGGTGTATTAGAACAAGAGGGGTGCCCAGTGATCTGCATTTCACGTCTACTTAATGCAGGTGGAAAGGGATACCCGCAGACTCAAAAAGAATCGTGGGATGTATTCTGGTCTGTTCGACGATTGCACAAGTATCTTTTCGGATTGCGATTTACCATCGTCACTGATCATCAAGCGCTACAGTTGTTGTTCAACCCAATAAATTCATCGCGAAGTCCACTGCTGCTATGTTACAAAGGTGGAGCATTTCCCTAACCACGTACAACTACGACATCCAACATCATTCAGGAAAGACAATCCCGCAGGCTGATTTCCTCTCTCGCTAATCACAATTCGCTGAGACCAAACAGTGTCATTTCATCACCCCAGCATCACCAGTGTCTCAGGAATCTTTACGCAAATCTACCAAGCAGCACTTCTCGGCGATCAAGAAAGATTGGTGAAGAGAAAGTATCCATAGTTCTTTGTTCACCGAGAGGAGTTGTCCGTGCAATTGGATGATGTATTGTGTCGCGAGGATCGTTTGATAATCCCACCGCCACTACGGAAGACGGCACTAGATGAATTGCAAAAAGGACATATGGGAGTGAAGAAGATGAAATCACTCGACAGATGTGTTGGTGGCCGAAGTTGGACGCAGACATTTACACAACAGCCAGGAACTGTGAGTTATGTTTACATACTTTACGAACAAGACCGAAAAACTGAATCCCATGGCCGGAAAGTGACATACAATGGCAAAGGTTTCATTTGGATTTCTGTGGTCCATTTCTGAATCGGCATCACGCCCTTGTTCTGATAGATTCACACGCCAAATGGCCAGAGGTATTCTTCACTACTACGACTACCACATCATTTGTGATGCAAGTACCACGGAAATGTTTCAGTCGCGAAGGGATTCCACAAATGCTTGTGACGGACAATGGATCTCAGTTCTGTGCCACCAAAATGAAGCTTTGGATGGACAGCATCGGTTGCCGACATCTTCGAGCTGTGCTACATCATCCCTGTTTAAACGAGGCGGCAGAGAATTCAGTCAAAACGGTCAAGAGTGCAAATGCGTCTGCCAATCCGAAAACGCTACCTCAATTGGAAACGTAAGTGGATGATTTTCCACTCCAATACCGAAACGCAACACATACAACCACCAAGAAGAGACCGACAATGCTTTTCAAATCCATACTCTTGCCATCCTCCTTACAGTGCCTCGACTCCAGTGACGTCATGTACTTCTGTGGTAATGATTTGCGGCAACTGGGTCAAGCCATGGTGGAAATTACCGACTTGAATGATCTACTGTGCACAAGCGACACATGGACCGAATCCACTTCAAATCATCCACTGACCAACGGCATCGAGAGACAAGCGAGGACGACCATCAGGTGCGAACCCTGTCAGAACGCCCGACGGAGCCACATCAGTCAGATGCACTGACACAACCAATCGAAGCACAAGGACACGAACATGAAGAGGAGGAGCCAACGATTGCATTCCGCAGGTCTATCCTTCAGGCGAACCAGATTGACGAGGTGCTCTTGAAGGAAGAGAGTTGTAGTGATCCATACTTACGTGACCGCGTTTAAAGCACGACCAGGTACAGCTTCATGTCATCCAATCACAGATCAGGAAGCTCGGTAAATGTTACACCGGGCGAACATGACATCCGAATGAATACATGTGATGCGTCAGTGAGAACGGCTACGTGATTGAACGACGGTCCTTCAACCAATCATATGGCCTATTACTTTCAATAAAACATGGTCTATTCAATAAACATAAGCATTTTCTGCCATCAATTCCTCGTGTATTTCATTGATGTGAGCAGTTCGGGTTGAAGCCAATGCAGTTCTGAGCATTACAGTATGGGTTCTCGTATGTTGATATTCAATACTATTCGGATTACCATAATAATTTATTACACATGTCACCAGATAGGTTGCCACGCCGCGCGATGTTTCCCAAGGTAGGTAGTGAGTAAAAAAGCCAAGGGTGGTCAAACTAAGACCTGGCACGGGGATATGAAAGCCCCAATCAGGGGACTCGGTCACATAAGTCGAGTTAGACTCCCAAGGTCCCCATCTCGGGATTATGGTAACCAGTGGTTAGAGACAATGAGTGATATGGCGAAGTGTCTCAGACAATGGCGTTCGAGGATCTTCTCTATTTTCCTGCAACCTTAGTCCACTGAAACTGTCTATTTTCTCTTCGACTCTACTTTCAACTCTCCTGTCTTCCTTCTACTGCTTCATTCAAATGGGCATCCAAAAGACAGCAACGAAAACCGGCGCACGAAAGTGCATGGACAGTGGTTGTACAACTCGAAAAACTGAAATTGAAACAGTTATACATCCTGAGCCTAATCAGTTCATTTCAACAATAAGAACCTTAAGTTAGCCAAAGGTCAACTTGGAATGGAGCGAGGGGTGTGAGAAATAGTATGAAATTCATAGTAGACGTTTTTCATAGGTGCATTTCTTCGATTGAGAACGAGACCTTGCCTACTCTCGGGGAAACTGCAAATATTTGAGAAAAGTTCGTTATTTGCATGTACTTCTTTTCAAAATGACATCATTCCGTTCAGTTTCCCATGTTAGGCTTGCAAATATTGGTCGCATAGTATTTTTGTTGCCATCCGAATCAACTACCAGATGATCGGAGGCGCAATATTTGTTTGTTTGTTTGTTTTATTTNNNNCGCTGAAGTCTGTTTGATTTACACAATATCTGACTACCTATTCCGTACTGGGTAGGAATTGAACCACTTAAGGTATAGGGGAATTCGAATTAATGTTAACATGAGAGGGTAGATGTCGAAAGGAGGAGTGGGTGGACGAATAGGAAGGGCAAAGGACAGATCAGGATGCCGTGGTTGAAGAGGGTTATCTAGAATCTTATGGGCAAATTTCATACAAAAGTTGATGTGACCATTGATAAGTTCTGAGATTATTGAATGAAAAAAGATCAATGAAACACGCCTGATTATTACTAAACCACAACGAAAGGTTCTGAAGTGTCGTTTAAAAAAACCGGGAAACGCAACAAGGAAACAATAGAGTAGAATTGGGAAAGCGCATCGATCAACGAAAGAGGACAAAACTAACTGTGAGTTTCGGAATTGCTCGAGTTTTCATGGCTGAACGGAGAGGCTGCTCAGTTTCCCCATTCAACTGTTCATGTGTGTGCATCACCGGAGATTACTGGGATTTGACAGTGGCCATTCCAAACACAGGTTTACAGTTTACGATAGCACAGTCCGTTGGAAATGAAGAGCAGGAAAAACTGAAGATGATCTCTAGGCATTTGGATAGACTGAGACTAAGACCAGATTGTTTGGAAAACTGTTTGATTTGAGCTCGATTTTGAGTGAATGAATCGAATTCCGATGAAGAGGAAATTGATACGAAACGACATCGCCAGCATACTTTTGGATGTATGCAGGGGGTGGGGCAGAACGATCGTTAATGAAAGCAGACAAAAGACACGGAGATATAACGGCACCTTAAAACACACCGGGATTAGTAACTGGACGTTTTGATTTACTGCCCAACTAGGTGCATTGAGCCCTTTCTGTGAAGTAGTCAGAAAGCCATGACACCATGTCTTGGAATGACAAAAGAAGCGATGATCGGGAAACGGAATCGAATTCAGCCGAATAGTCGAGAAAGACATAAGGGAAAGACGTGGCTGAGTTGTCCAATAAATTGCTGATAAGACGGCTATGACGTACAATGTAGATTTGTTGGTTTACTTGCAAACTTGAAGGGGTAATTGACTACAAGCGACTTGTAGAGGTCAGCGCAATAGGATTAAACCGTTTCGCAGGAACAGTCGAGGACGGGACCTTCGAGGATTGGAATAATAATAACTTGACGGCAGAAATCAGGATTTGACCGAGAAGATAGAGACTCATTGGCTGGGGAAGCTGCTCCCAATTTAGGAAGCGATGATGGGAGACCATCAGGACTTGCAGTCGAGGATACTTTGAAACACCGAAGCTTGAAGATCTAAGTTTGAGAAAAAGGCATGGAGTCCGACTCATTGAACGAAAAAGAGGGAATCTCATTTGTATTTGACTTGTGGATCAAATTCGCATTGAGGCTTATGACGTCCCCCTAAATACTCGAGAGATTTATGTTCTGCTCACAGAACAGATGTAAAAGACGTGTTATCCTTCTTACAGAATCTGGGCTGCGAAAATTGCATTCAAATGCATTATCCCAGACTTGATGAGTGGCGCATTAAAACTGATGTATGGCAAAATGTTTAAGCCCTTTGTGTCTTCTCAATGATTTCCAAAAGCGTGAGGTACTTCTACCGTTTTCATGGGGCAAGACAAGTGAAAGATAGATTTCAATGTTTCGCTAAACCAGACTAAAATATCTGTAAAATGATGGACAAGGATCCAACCAAGACTGAACAATCATTATAGAACTGTTGAAAACAGAGTTGTGACTGGATGATAAGTCCCTTAGATGAGGTTTTATTTGACTGGAAAGTATGAATGTTTGATCGGCAATGCGGGATTTTACCATTGCTTTAATAAGAGGGACATAATTTGCTCTGGTAACAACCAGGTCTTGAAAGTAAATAAGTTGCGATGTTTTACGGTTGTTCCGCCCAGCACAGAACTACCTCTGGTAGGCGAATGAGACAGGTCAGATGAACCAAACGGAAGCCGGGGAATTGCTTGCATAATTGAAGTCACCAGCAGGTGAAGATTCTCATCCGACAATGGAACTAAAATCGGGATAAAGAAGTTGCAAAGAGCAGATGTTTTATTTGAGGACTGGAAGGTGAAGCACATTAGTAATGATTCTACTTTTGTGACGGGAGGATTTGAGAGAGCAAGGAATGAATAAATATTTAATGCATTTTCGGAATAGCGTTTTTATTACACAGAAGTGAACACAACAAAGGGGTAAAACCTATAATCTAAAGATGTACTAGATGGTAAAGGGATTATTCAAACTAGAATCAGCTTGTTGATTCTGTGTTGTACGTTAGAGGGAAGACCGAAAGGGACAGTTTTTCATAGTTTAATATCACTTTTGAATTGCTGCACCAGGAGACAATGATGTAGGCTACAGTGCCATATTCGTTCTTTTTTAATTCACTGCCTATTCTATTTATTAGAACGAGCACGTCCTCAGCCATGTTTTTGTACACACGCAACACATGCCGGAATTTAATGTGTGCTCAGGATGGAGGTTAAATCCGAGATTTCCGCGGAGAGAGAATGTTAGTGCGAACCAATGATGGCATATTCATCCTGGTAGGCGGTGCGCAAGTGAGTGCAGTCTACTATCCGGCCGGCTGGTCTACGTTTTCACCCGATCACATTCGTGAGTCCCATGAATCACATGATTTGTGAGAAAGCACAGAATTAACAGTATTCAGTTTAACCCGGTCCTGACGAGAATAGGTATAGATCCGAGGAACGGTCTGCATCGATACAGTGATAAATCAAGCATGATAAAATCCGGCACGATAGTTTAGCATAACCAATGGAAGTATTCTGTTCGAGGGATTGATATGCACCGGGATCGATAGATATTTACAGTGCTGCTCATCCTCAACAGGCATGAAAAAGCTGTGCATTTGCTGCTCAAAATTAACCTTTTTGTATGCCATGAAGTCACTTGAATATTCGGTTTTACCCATTTATTACCCATTAATCATGATCCATTTCTGAGCACCAATGGTTTGCATACTTTAATAACCTGTTTTAACGATTGTCACTGCAGATCCGATTGACTGACAAAATCACGTGTTTTCATTCTCACGTGATAAAAATTAAAAGAACCTCTTAATAGAGATAAGTTTATAGATACAAATGATGACGTAGGAAAAAATGTACAAATGCATGATTAAATATCACACTCTCACATTCTCACATTCTCATGTGAGCCGATTATTCAAAAAAATTATTGCGTTCTACGATTTCTAAATTTGTATCACATTTTGCAAGCAGAAAAAGGAAGCACACAAACCCAGCGAAACTCTACTTTTATTCCTTCACTATTGCACTATGAACCAGATTTGCTTCACGTCAACCGACCGGGGTATTTATGTCTACTACTTTACCAGGGTAACTAGTCACAGTTAATACAATACCAAAGTTATCCGAGAGGAATGCATATACGCATGCTCTTCCCTGCCTTAGGTTCGCGATCGATTGAATCCATGATGTGCAAAACAAAACAATCAGAAGAGTTGTGTTGATGTGCGCGGTATATGAACTGACGAAAGAACAATCGTCGTAACATGTTCAAACACACAGTCTCCACTGAAGTTGTTATTCAGAAGAAGTCTGGTTGCCTACAGCAGTGTTGGTTTATCTGTCAATCAGTTGACGGTGAGACAGAACAGATCTTTACTGATACAATCACCCTCGTGTGTGTGTGTGTGTGCACCCAGACAAGGAAACATGAAATCGTCTCTGTTGTTAGAAGTCAACTTGAGGTTCTCCAAAAGGATTCTCAAGGTTGAGCTGTATTTCACTCCCTTGTTACATTTGCTTGGGGTTACTGATTGGTTTAATTCACCATGAGGTGTTTTCTCGGGTTCCACATTTTATACTTTTT